TGTGTGACCTACAGCTGTGTGTGTGTGATGTTCACAGCGACAAGTGTCAGGCTGTGTTTGTCTCTGCTGTCCGGTGGCTCCAAGCGCTCCGACATCTGCAGCAGCACAGCGTCAGGGAGCGGCCGCACGCGCAGGCGGTTCCTCTGCACACACACACCCAGCGAACACTGCAGGAACACCTGACAGAAGCCCACGCCGGCTGCACACACACACACACATACACATGAGACACACACACACACACATGCATAAAACACACAGATATACATAACACACACACACACACACACACACACACACATACACATAAGACACACACACACATGCATAAAACACACAGATATACATTAGACACACACACACATATACACATAAGACACACACACACACACACTCAGAGTTGTGCACGTACTCCTCCTGGCCAGCTGCTGGATCTGCTGCCTCATGCTCTGGTAGTAGAAGTTATCATCCAGCAGCAGCACGAGCGGCTGTGAGTGTGTGTGTGAGAGAAACACACTCTGATCCCGCAGCAGCTGCTCGAACCGCATCCACACACCAGCATCAGCCTGCTCACAGAGTGTGTGTGTCTCCGGGAGTGTGTGTGTCTGCTCAGAGAGTGAGTGTTGCAGGAATCTTTCCAAACACGCCAGTACTGTTTTTCTGTGCTGCTTCCATTCTGCCTGAAACACACACACACACACACAAACACACACACACACACACTCAATATGGGCAGCTCAGTGGTCAGCATGATCACTTCACAGCAAGAAGGTCGCTGTGTGTGTGAGAATGAGAGTGTATGGGTGTTTCCCAGTACTGGGTTGCAGCTGGTATGGGCATTTGCTGTGTAAAACATGCTGGAATAGTTGGCGGTTCATTCTGCTGTGGTGACCCCTGAATAATAAAGGCACTCGGCTGAAGGAAACTGAATGAATTATTCAGTATATCAATAGTAAGTGATCACAGATTCTGTAAACAGTGTGTGTTCTTAACTGTGTGCTCTTAATAGTTTTGTTTTATTTATTTTACTGTTGTTTAGACGGTGTTGTAGCACCTTTTTTGCCCAAGACAAATTTCCTCTCGGGGACAAATAAAGTTTTACCTAAACCTAACCTAGATGAGAACACACTCCATTACAATCAGCATTTAATGATGAAACACCAATAAACTCAACAATGATCAGCAGATTTACAATGATGCAGTTACAATGATCAGTGTGTGTGTGTGTGTGTGTGTCACTGATTGGTCTCCTCTCTCTCTCTGTTATGCATTATTGTGCTGATAGGGCAGTCAGTGTTTCCCCCAAATCTCTCACTCTCGGCATGTTTATCACACACACACACACACACACACTCTCTCTCTGTCTGTTTACCTCTCTCCAGTCGCGCTCGGGGATTAGCAGGTCATAGGTCACCGTCAAGGTCCTCCAGCCGCGGGAGTGGGCGTGTCCCCGTAGCTGCTCCGCCAGGCGGGATTTACCGGCCGCCGGTAAACCGAACAGCAGGCAGAGACACGCGCGAGCGGGAGACATGGGGGACACACCGGCGGTCACGTGACTCTGACCGGCGCTTCTGGAGCGCCACTGCGCACGCGCAGACCCCGCCCACTCACAGAGTCTCGAGCACTCATTGGTCACTGGCGCTGTACGTCAGCAAAACAGGAAGTCCCTTTCACGCGCTGAAGTTCAGAGTTTAAACGAAGAAAGTTGAAAACCGCGAGACTGATCCGGTAAACGGGACTGGAGCACCCGGTACACCGTACACACCACAGCGGAGCGGAGCAGCGTCTGAACCCGAGCACAGCGCACTGAGTGACGCGCTGCTGATCTGAGGAACACCGAGGAGCTGAGGAGAGAGAGAGAGAGAGTGTGTGTGTGAGAGAGAGAGAGATGACAGAGCCACAGCGGAAGAGGCAGAAGCTAGAGGAGTCTGAACACTTGCACAGGTAAAACACACACACACACACACACACACACACACACACACACACACACACATCATCATCATCATAGTTACTGTTGATATTAGCATGGGAAATGAGCCTGTGTGTGTGTGTGTGTGTGTGTGTGTGTGTGTGTGTGCGTGTGCGCGCGCAGCTCTGCAGGTGAGCACACACACACTCCTCCTCGCTCCTCCAGGCAGACTCAGCTCTCTCTGCACCGCTGGCTGAAGCCAAAGAGCCGCTCTCCGGAGACCCCAGACACCCCGATCCAGCACACACCGACCCAGCACACTGTGACCCAGCACACACCCTCTGGCTCCGAGCCCCGCAGGATCCCGCAGTTGTTCAGCAGAGGCCCGGGCAGGTGAGCGCTCTACTCTACTGTACATGACCTCATTAATATTCATGAGCCAAGGCGAATCTGGTACCGCCCTCAGCCACTGATAACTCCGCCTTAAAGTGTGTGGAGACATGTTAGAGCTGACCTGAGTGTGTGTGTGTGTGTGTGTGTGTGTGTGTGTGTGTGTGTGTGTGTGTGTGTGTGTGTGTGTGTGTGTGTGTGTGTGTGTGTGGGCGGGCGGGCGCAGTGACCGCCGGCTGGCCTGTATCTCCTCTACTCTGGACTCCTCTTGTGTGTGTGTGTGTGTGTGTGTGTGTGTGTGTGTGTGTGTGTGTGCGTGTGTGTGTGCCGGCTGGCCTGTATCTCCTCTACTCTGGACTCCTCTTGTGTGTGTGTGTGTGTGTGTGTGTGTGCGTGTGTGTGTGTGTGTGTGTGCGTGTGTGTGTGCCGGCTGGCCTGTATCTCCTCTACTCTGGACTCCTCTTGTGTGTTCTCCTGTGCTGATGGTTATTGATGATGAGGCTGATCTTCATCATGTTGCAGCAGTGCAGGGGGATGATGTGGGTCAGCTCATACACACACCGTGTTTCCCCGCCGGGTTGTCCTCATCACACTGCGGGAGAGGATGCAGGACTCCACCCTGAGCTCTGAATATCGAGGACAGACCAATCAGAGAGCAGAATGTCTGCAGCCCCGCCTCCGTCTTCAGATGTCTCCGTTTCCAAGGCGGGAAATCTCCGAAAAGAGGAACCGCAGCAGCAAGTGTAAACTGGGCCCGAGCTGATGCTGGAGCCGCCCGAGCCCGAGCCTGACCCGGAGGAGGAGGAGGAGGAGCAGGAGGAGCAGGAGGAGCTGAGGAGGCGCTGCGGGGAAAGCGAAAGTGAAAGTGCAGAAGGCGAGGGAGAGAGAGTCCGACAGCCGCTCTGCGAATGGACGGGAATACACCATCATCATCATCATCCTCATCCTCACCGGCGGCGGAGGGTTCGCATCCCGGCTGGATGAGTGTGTGTGTGTGCGCGTGTGTGTTCCTGATCCTGTGTCCGCTCGCGCTGCTCAGAGCCGCCGCGGTGTGTGTTTCAGTCATATAATGCAGAATACAGCGCTGTGTGTGTGTGTGTGTGTGTGTGTGTGTGTGTGTGTGTGTGTGTGTATATATGACGGATCTGTTCCTCCAGAACCTGACGCAGCTCTGCGCCATGATGAAGGCCCGCTGGATCACACACACCGCCCACCGGAAGCGCTCGTGGCTTAGCTTCCTCAGATCTGCCGCGTGAGACTTTCATGATGATAATAATAATAGCACACACACACACACACTAACACACACACTAACACACACACACACACACACTAACACACACACTAACACACACACACACACTAACTCACACACACACTAACTCACACTCACACAAACACAACAGTGACCATAATCACCTTGTGTGTGTGTGTGTGTGTGTGTGTGTGTGTGTGTGTGTGTGTGTGTGTGTGAGAGTGAGTGAGTGATTGACAGATCTGGAGTATTTGTGTTTTATAAACAGCAGATCAGTCTTACACGCCAGAGTAGACACACACACACACACACACAGAGAGAG